TGATAATTTCGTAAATTTTGTGATTTTTTATTTGCTATGAAATAAATATATCATGTTTCAAAGCAAAATCCGCATATTTAAATAATCTATATAAAAAATCAATGAATTTTATGAATTTACAAATTAATTTTCATTTATATAATTTGAAAAGAATTCTTATATTTACAAATATTAAAATTTTTAATACTCTAACTTTTGACCAAACTAAAATATTTTAATATTTTAAGATCTTTATATTAAGTGGTATAATTATTTGGTTTGAAAGAATAACCGAATTAAACCAAATAAACAATTCAAATTTAGACGCATATAAAATTAAGTTTTCTCATTTTACTATTTTCATTATTTTTGTCTTTTATAATATGAATGCCTTGTGTTTTCTTTGATTATTATGAAATGTCTCACATATGTCTCCTAGTGTAGGATACATGTATTAAATCACTATCTTAGTTCGATTTGTGTGTATATTTATAAACACATAACAAAAGAAGTAAAGAAGTATGTAGCAAATTAGATTAAAAAAGTACGTAGTAAGTTGCATACCAGTTCATCTTAGAAGACCAGCTTGTGATCACTAATAAGTGACTCTGCAACATTGAATCGACGTTTTGTTTCACCATTATAATTTCATGCTCTAATTTTTCGCTCGTGTCAGTTTAACCTCATAGTATTTTTTCAGAACCAAAAATAAAATTTGTAAGTAAAACAGAATATGCAACTGATTTTCTTTCTAATATAGTGAATATATGTATGGGTTAACCCGTCAAAYACTTTTAAAGTGTATTTARTTCTCTAATAAAAARTTRAATGGCTCGTTGCTTTCTTTGACCCTTGTATAATGTCCCACACATGTTTCCTAGTGATAGAGTTAATCAAATTGTTAAAAAAAATCCACTGAATACATGTAAATCTTACATGAATAAATTTTGAAAAATTAAATTGTATACCACAATTAAATTGAAGGAGACAAATATTTAGATCAAAAATTAACATTGAAGAATTTGAAAAAAATAATTGACTTGTTGAGTGGAATGATATGATCTTATACAGTGAAGAGATGGTGGCTAGGGAGGTGTCGATTTAGGGTTTGTAGAAACAATATTTTTATTAAATTAATTATTTGAATTAAGCAAAGAGAAACCTAATATCATATGCTCCAATTTTTTTTTACTTCGTTAACATGTGCAAGAAAATATGATTAAATTAATTTTTTAAAGTCAATATTAATTACAGAATCGATATACATTAGACATGTATTAAACTTAATTATCAAAATTAAAATCGCACGATTTTATAGAGCGAAAAGAAAAAAAAGGAGTACCAAGAAGAAAGATTAATCCATATCTGGTTGGAGAAGAAGATTACATCTTCGAGCTATGAAAATTCTTTTTTTGTTGGATTCGTTCTCTGTTTAGACGTCTTTATCTAACATCAAAACAAAACAAAATTAGATAAATAATAAAAAGAACAAATATCAAAATATCAAAAAGCCATGAAAAAATAAACGAATGCAATGTTGACCAAAAACAAAAAGGAGAAGAATGCAATGTCGACAAAAAAGAAGAAGAGAAGAACGCAATAAAAACTATAAATTCTAAAAACACGTTTGTGGGTAAAAGTATTATGATGATGGTGTTCTTATATAGGCTGCGTATAATGAAAAATATAAATACAGTTTTAAAAAAGATCTACAACAAATCTCAATATTAGGTAATATATATAATTTCTGTCAATACCGTAATTTAAGGATAGGATTAGAAAGATTAAAATTTGATTAGTTATGATACTTAAAAGGAAAAAAAAATATTCCAATGGCATTTAGTTTGTTATGTTTATTAATAGTGAATATTGAAAAATGTATATTGCCATATATAGTCATAAATGAATTAGAATTTGTTCATTAGTTATTTATATAAATTATTAAATGTGAAAATATAAATTTTTAAAATTAAATATATCATTATTTTCTAAATATTTGTCAAGATATTAAATTTTTATTAGTTTTAGAAAATTAATCCTTGAATTTTTTAGTTTAAAATGTTATATTTTTAAAATTTCCTCAAGAAACTCGGATTTAAAAAATATTGATTTTAATTATATGTATAGTTAAATTTAAAACCGAAATTTTAAATATGGAAGATCTTATTGTTGTTAAGGAAATCACAAATCTCGTGATTATTGGTAATAAAATTCCGAACACAATTATTATAATGTGTTTATAGAGAATTTCGTATAGGAAAACAATAAATTACAATGGCATTTAGTTTGTTATGTTTATTAATAGTGAATATTGAAAAAAATTGTATATTGCCATATAGTCATAAATGAATTAGAAATTTTTAAATAGTTATTTATATAAATGATTAAATATAAAGATATAACCTTTTAAAATTAAATATATCATTATTTTCTAAATCTTTATCAACATATTAAAGTTTTATTAGTTTCAGAAAATTAATTCTTGAAGTTTTTAGTTTAAATTTCCGCAAGAAACTTGAATTTTTAAAAATACTTATTTTAATATTATGTATAGTTAAATTTAAATCCGAAAATTTACATATAGAAAATATTATTCTTGTTAAGGAAAGCACAAATCTCGTGATCATTGGTAATAAAATATTTTATTTGCTAAAATTTCGAATGCATTTATTATAATATGAGTTTATAGAAATATTGCTAAGAGTAAATCTTGTTAAAGAAAAGATTTAGAAAAGATCATAACAACTAATAAATAAGGTAAGATTCATTAAGGTTTAATGATTTTTGTTACGACACAATGGTTTTGATAAGATTTAGTATTTTTAAAACAATAACTATATGATTTGATTTAGATTGTCTTTCCATAAAAAAACCATCAAATCAAAATTTTGATTTCTACAAAAAAAAATGATTATGTTTTCCAGTGGAACATACTAATACATATTACACACACTAACACATAATACTACTATTTTGCAATTGCAACAACATAATTAAGAGTTTTAATTGTGTCTTTTGATTGATCAAATAGTACTAAACAAATCGAATCGAGGGTCATATGCAAACAATTGCAGGTGAGTTTTAAGTGTATATTTATGTACCAATCTCAATCATATGGAGTATGATCATTACAAATGCAACTCTGAAAAAATGAGATTGCATCAGATTTAGAGAATGTGAAGACAATTAAGTTCAATGTCTGGTTCGTAGCACAAACAGACAACACATCATGCTACAATAATATAAATGGTAAGAGACCGTCTTGTCTTGTTCCATGATCACTTGTATTTCTGTATCTCCAACAATCCTCCATTTCTCACCGCCATTTCTTCCAAGCTCCATCACTGCTCCGTCTTTATAGTACTCARCAACAGGAATAATACCAAACACAGTTCTTGATCCTCCATATCCACCCATTACCCAAAACTCTCTCTCTTCTTCTTTCTCTTCCTCATTACCAATCAAGAAACCAACACAACCTGCTCAAAATAGAGGCAACTCCTCCATTTCACTCCATTCATCTTTCTCAACATCGTAAACCTCAACCGAACTCATTCTACTACCAGCAGCACCAAACAACGTATGTCGTGAACCACCTCCCGCAACAATAATCCGACCAGGCATCGCAGCACAATCAAAGCTACCACGCGGAGATAGCATCGGAGATAACCGTTCCCAAACCGATTTCACGAAATTGTACCTGAATACAGAGGAAGTATGCAAAGGACGGTCCAAAGGATACGACCTAGTTTGAATGATAAACTATCGTAATTAAGATATTTGATAATTTCGTTCTGTGTAAACCAACAACAAAACACATTACAAATAAATCCGAATATATACTTAGCAAATGAATAAATCATGACATGGAGAAAGGAACAATACTCACCCTGCAAAGAACAATACTAACGACATGGATACACACTACAACAAACCTTTGGGTTATTTTCCTCAATTGAGAACTTGCAAAGCAATAGCTTTGAGGTCGAGCTTATAATCTAGGTTCACAGTTGAAACAATATTCCTGAAACGAACAAACAAATKTTGTCATTCACAAAACACAAACTCATAATCTAAAAAGCTAAAAAAGAGAGACAAAACGAAACTCACTACAAATGTCCCATATTGTTTTCCATATATTAAAAGCCTTCAATATGTCCTCTGCAAAGAGCAAACATACATCAATCTCAACTTGCAAATTCRTTCCTATTTGRAGAGAAATGTATACAACCAAACAGTTCTTATAGGATGCTCAATACTAATGACTCTTTCTTGTACCTTTGTTCTGCTCGTCCATTGAAAGAATTAGATCAAATTCAGTGAAATCAGATGCCTTTATAGGTCTTGATAATGATGTTATCTCAACTCCAGGACGTTTTGCAGCACTTCTCATTCTTGGATCTGCCATATTCCCCTTGTAAACAACCGAAAAATCAGTTCCACAATCAACATGAATTACAAAGTCTC